TTTTTTTTGGCAGATCGCTGAGATAATAAAATCATAGAAAATTAGAGTTTACATTTCTCAAATGGACTTGCTAATTGCTTGTTGATCTGTTTGCTGTCATGTCGAATCAGTCTGGGAATGGTTTCTATGAAAAGGTTTCAAACAGTTCAACATGCGCAGAGAAGATATTAAAATATTAATATTTGAATCTTTCAGTATAATAATTTTGATTGAAAATAGTTTGAGAAAATTACCAAATTTTCAGACGTTGAGATATTCTATCTTGTCGTATTGCTTATAGACTTTTATCTTTGTATATCGTTGATCAGATAACTCGACTACTCAAACCAGAATGTCAAGGAATACGTGAGAGAGTTCAACTGCTTGGTGAATTAATCACAAGCAAGAAACTTGATTCAATCCTACATGTTTATGACGAAATGGCATATATAATCGCAGCTACCGAACGAAATGAGCTTTTACAAGCCGGTTCTGATGGGAAACGTCTTCTTCAATTAACAACTGCAGCAAAAAGCAACTTGAATATTGATTTGCATAATCTTGATATTGAATTACAACGTCAACTTGGACTTTATTCTGTTGAAGTCATTGGAGATGGCGTAAGGATCTATTTTCTTCTCGTTATTACTTTTTCATTCCACTAATCTCCTTAATAGGCATGTGCCTTTCGAGCCACACTGATCTCAGGTAAATTGTTGATTAGAATTAAAAAATGCATTCAACATTTAGTGAATATCTTTGATATGTACGGATGCAAAAACCTGATCTTTACCATAGCGAATTACGCGAAAAGGCCATTCGGCAAGTTCTCAGTAATGGGTCTTACTACTCAACTGTACTAAGACCCGGAGATCAAGTGAATGAGAAAGAATTAATAGACTGGGCACAAACAATGGACGATTCAAATACTTATGGAGATGAAATGGCTAATATAGCTGTAGCTGATCGATATCATATTCAATTGGTTATTTTTCGTGCTGGTGAATTACTTACTGTGGTAAATCCATGTGATGGATATATTGAACACACAGCTTTTCTTGTCAATGTCGGTACTCATTACAAGACACTCGTTTCTTGTTATGAACTAGAAGAAGCACGTAGAAACTCTGAACATCTTCAGAAATAAAATATGACAAATTTATTGAATGATAGTGTTGATTTTTAACGATATCTATTTGTATAAAGGGGCAAGGTGCTTAAGATTTTGTAGTTTCTAAGCAACGAGTGTCAACCAATGGGTTTTTTTTTCTTCGTAATTGTACAAAAAGAAATTAAGTAAATAATAAAAAGAGAAAATATTTTTCAAAACCAATAATTGAATGCTTGGCAATGAAGAAAATAAGAGCATGTAATAGATAATTAAACAAGTGCTCATATAATATTCAATTCTGCATGGTTTTTTTTATGGTTGAAAAATTAATATTTAATTTTATCTATTTAAAAAAACAGACGTTTCTTAATTTCAACTATCGAAGAAAAAGAAAGTGCTGAATCAAATTTCTATAGTTGATGCATGATCAGTACACGATACAAGTGCTTCTTTACTGTGTACTTTTCATGTTGATATAAAAAGAAAATGAAGAAACCATGCACATCACCAGTGAAAACGAAAAAGAGATATGCTATAATTAATAAAACAGTGAGAATACGATAAAAACCGATGAATATTTGCATCTTTTTCACTTCATTTGATTGATATAATACGAGAGAAAAATTAAATGATGCGATAGACATAAGATATGTATTATAGGAAAGGTAGAACATTGTAGAGAATCAATATTTATATAAGATTTCTTATTTTTTCGTTCGTTATGTTGACTCTTTTATTCTTTTTTTTTTCGTACGTTTTTATATAATATTTTTACTCAAATAACAAAACTTTCTAATCATGACTCGGAATATTCCATCATCAGTTTCATCTAAAACGGCTCGTTATGAGTGTGATTACGTAAATTATTCATTTTTTCCTCGTTCATTCATGTAACTTTATTAATTGTATAGGTATTTACGACACTTGGTATTAAATCACACGGGACAATAACTTGTAGGAGTAAAAATAAATTAAAATCTTCAATAATTTTTTGTTTTAGTTCGTAGAAATTCTTCAAATAAAGCAAATTTTATTCGAATATCACCTGATGTATCTCCTGTACAAATTAAAGAATTATTTTTTCAACAATGTCAACATAGAGTAAAGTTATTTTATTTGTTATTTGTATAAGATAAAGTTTATCTTTAGCGTCAATCACTTGTTATATCCATAACAGGCAGCGCTAGAGAATACAATATGAAATCAAAATTATTTCAAATATTTCGTCAAGGTCTTCTTAAAGTGGCCAAAACTACCAGTTGAATTTAATTTTACATATTTATTCAAAATCAGAATTGTTTTTTTTTTCGTTTCTTCAGATGTTTGGATAATTACAAATGGTGTTATTACAAGTCTTACAAAACTTCTTGGAGAAATAATTCGAACAAATCCTGATCCATCCCATCCTATTCATTTAATTGTAAGTTATAATAGGGTACCCTAGTCTATTCTTCCCCGTAGAGTTCCCAGTAGTGTCGAACTTGACAGTTGAATTCAAGTATTCAAGTTTTCAGTTCGAGTATTCAATTATTACTCTCCTTAACCTTAGCCATCCTTATAGAGTTTTGCACTCATCCTCAACTGTGACTGTGGGACTTTGCCCCTTCCCCGATAAGAATTTTTTCCTCACTCTCAGCTGTCCCTGTGGGATTTTGGCCCCACCCCTCAATGGTACTTTGAATAATTGAATACGGGAATTCAAGTTTCAAGTTGTACATATATGGTAGTTCTTGGGAAGAACGAAATTAATCAGGTCCCTGGGAACTTCCATTGACAAGAAGGTACTCTTTATTGACTTTTAAGGCTATTTCCCGAATAATCTCTGCGATTCTCCATAAACTTCCTGTTAAATCCCCGGGGACTGTACAGGGAAGACGGGACTAAGGTATCTAAGAAATATTTATTGTGAAATCTAAAGGGTATTGCTTCATGGGGATGTATATCTGGTGTTGAACAACTTGATGTTCATGGAACAAATGTTATTTATAATAAATCAAAAAATGATGGAAACGATGAAACACCTCTTGAACCAAATCATACACATTTTATTTTTGTTGATGATGGAACTAAACATCAATATGGAGGAGAAAATGAATTTCGTACTCAATTTGAAAGAGCGATTTATGGAGAATCATTTTCATTACAAAATACAACAAATAATAATCAAATGAAAGATAAATCAAGACAATCAGGTTAACATATTTCATAGAAGATGAAATTTATTTCTTTTTGTGTTTGACTTAGATAGCATACCTGTTGTTCTTGTTGTTATTGAAGGTGGACTTGAGACAATTAAAAAAGGTTTTGATATATTCAATTATATTGAATGATAGTATTTGTTTTAGTTTATGAAAGTGTTATGAAAAATAAAATTCCAGTTGTTCTTCTGGCAGGTACAGGTGGTTGTTGTGATTTATTTGCTAAATGCTATCAATTATACAATGAATATCATCTAACATTGAAATTAACTGATCAAACAAAGTTGGTTTAACTATTCTTAAAAACATATTGACTTTGCTTCTTAGTTCTAGTGAAGATTCGTCATCATTAAGGGAAAAAATTGAACAGATAAAAAATAAACTTCGCGAAAAATTACAGATTATTGATAATAAATTGAATATAGGCTCGTGCATCAATGTACTAGACGAAAATACTGGAATAGATTATTTTGAATTAATTTACGAATGTATTGATAAACGAAGTATATTTTTAAATATCGTCGATTTAAAAGTGCATAATTATGTTGAAACAGATATTGATTTAGCTATTTTACAAGCACTTCTAAATGGTAAGAAATAATATTATCATTGAAACAATTCTTTTTTGTTTTTTATCTATTTTTTCTAGTAACATTTGAAAATGATTTATCTGAGATGAATATTGAACAAAAACGTGAACAATTAAATTTAGCATTAGAATGGCAACGAATTGATATTGTTAAAAATTTTATTATGAAAGATGAAAAATATTGGAAAGTAAATAATTCATTTAACATTTTTTCAATAAATAAAATATTCAATTTAGACAATTGAATTAAATGATCTATTCTTTAAAGCTCTTATTCAAAATCAAGCAAATTTTATTCAATTATTTCTTGATCATGATTTTCCATTAAATGATTTATTCGAAAATAATAAAATACTTGTAACACTTTATCAAAATGAAGTATTACACATTCATTATCGAATCTAAAAAAAAATAAAAGAAATTTTGTTTATTTAGAATTATCAATTAAAACATGATTTTAATAATCCTCTACGTGGAATTTATACAGAAATAATTCAACCATTAATTGGTGAATTTTTTCAAGTCGATGCTATCTTTGATTCTGATGATTTATTGGAGAATAACAATGATGATTTACAATCAATAGGTTTGATTATTTAATAATATAGAAAGAATAAGAATTATTTTATAGATGTTGAAAAAGAACTTTTTCTTTGGTCAATTTTAACAGATAAACAAGAATTAGCATTACTTTTTTGGGCTCGAGGAAAGAATAAAATTTGTAAGTATACAAATCTTATTTGAAGATTCAAAAATAAATTTTTGTAAAATAAAGGTGCTGCTTTGATTGCAACATTAATTTATAAGAGTAAAGCACGAAAAGCAAAAGATCAAAATTATATTGAATATGCAAATGAATTTCAAAGTTTAGCTGTAGAAATTCTTGAAAAATTTTATTTAACAAATCCATATGAATGTACAGAAGCAATTATTAGACAAATTCCACAATTTGGTAATGTTACTTGGTTACATTTAGCTGTTATGGCTGAAGCAAAATTATTTATTGCACATAGAGGAGTACAAGATGTACTTAATGATATATGGTATTGTCATTTTTGAGAAAAAAACAAGTCTTTTTTTTTTTAAATTTAATATTACAAATAGGAATGGATATATTGATCATAGAGTTGGACATATCAAGATTATATTTTCAACTATAATGCTTTGGTATAGTGGATTTCTTCCATATCATAAAAACTTAGTTGAAGGAAGTGAAAAATGTACCAAAACTAATGTATGTTAATCATTAATTGTTTTTAATTCATCTATTATTTTCTTCTCTAGAATTTTCAAGATGAATGGAACTTTTTTCAACGTAATACATCACAATTGAAATCTATTACAAATAGGTAGACAATTCTAAATTTGTTTGACTTATTTATAATAAAATATATTTGTAGAACATCAGATCCAGCATGTTCGAGATTAATGAATGATAATTTATTTGACGAAGATAGTTCTATCGGTACTAGTCATTGGAAAAGGTAGAGAATTAAAATTAATTAGATAAATATAGTAGGTTTATGAAATATGAAAGATCAATTTTTCATGTTTGACACTTATACTTAGATCAATCATTCTGACTATGTGAGACAGCTTAATTCCTGTCGTAAGCGATGAAAAATGAGGGCTATCATCCGTCGTACTAAATTACGGAACGTATTTCGCCGGAACAGAAACGGTGCCATTACATGTCGTGTATGACCACATTTAGCCGCTCTTACCCATCTATATTTTACATCACTAATACTATAAGATTTCTATATCATCCGATATGTCAAAAGGCTATTTACGTATAAAAATTAGAAAATTCAAAAGAAATAAATGAGAAAGATACTTTATCAAATAGGATCGATAAAGTGATCTACAATAAAAAAAAAAAATAAATAATTTAGATTAAAAGCCTTACTTACGTCAAATTGATCATTGATATGATCTAAAACAAAGAGATAATACAAATAAAAGAACTTATTTTCATTGAATTAATCATTAATATATTCTAAAATAGATATATGGATAAGTCGAGATTGGATTTGATTTTTTTAAGTCATTTATTGAGAATGGGCGTATATATCTCTGATCTAAAAGAAAGAATAATAATTCAAATGAAAGAAAAATTTCCTCCAATAACAGAAAATAATTCAGATTAAAAAAAAAAGAGTTTTTAATCGATTAGCTGTATGTGTAAGAATTCACTTATTTAGAGTGAAAAATGGAATTAGTCAATATGTAAACAATGTCTCAATGTTTCTTCAAGCTCCATGTGTGAAATATCTCTACAATTTAGTAAGTATTATTATGTCATTTTATCTATCAGATATTTATGATAAACATAGGAAAATTTCCAAAACTTGTTTCTGTTCATATTCATATTTTTGTTAGTCTATATTACGATTACAAGAAATATAATCATAGAAACAAGTAGTAGTACCGAGTAGAAAGATGCGGCTAGAGCCTATCGAATTCAAACATGTTGGACTTAGTCCCGAGTTCTATCAATCGCTCATATTATTCTCGATGGCATGTTTCAATTAAAATCTGATAATCATTCTGAAGTTACCAAATACTTTTTTCGATTATTTATATTCAGTGACTGGCACATCCTAGACATTTTTCAGGAAATCTTGGATGAAGTTATAATCGGTACTTGCTATTAGATCAGCACCTATTGGTTGAATCCTCGATCTGAATTTACAGCTCTCTAGTTTTAAAAACATTTTGTAGAAGAATTAAGCAGATATTTCCTTCTGAATATTCTTTTGTTATTAAGGCCACCCCCTCCGAAAATCGATGTTTTTTTTAAATTTCAATTTCGAGATAAACACATGGATGTTACCTCCAAGGTGCCTAGTTTTAAAATTCATGAAAGTCATTTCCAATTTCGAAAGGTCTCTTTAAAATAATCGATGAACTTATAAAGCTTTCTAGCAAAAAACACGGCACCTAAGATTATAGAGAACTCATAGGCCCACTTGTTTTTATCGTTCATAATAACAAACAATGACACGGCATACTGTGGTACGTCTACTTGATGAGACATCTGATGGGCTTTTAATTGATATACAATATAATTACGTTACTCTCTGTTGTATGAAGATGATTCAACAAAATATTCAAAGAAAAAAATATTCGCGCCGTTTCCTCAAAACTGATTTTTGACAAAACTGAGAAACTCCGAACAAATTTTTTTTCATTATAATTTGTTTCATTGAACTGCGGTTTTTTTATTCGATAGATTGATGAATCCTCTTTCGAATGAGGGAAATGGAATTTCTATTCGACCCTTAATATTGAGAAAACCAAAGGTTTTCTAGAAAACCTTGGCTATGGGTTTTAGAACTTTAAGGTTTCGGAAGTTGCAAAAATGAAATAAAATAAAAATTCTTTTCCTCATCCGAATCAGCAAGGAGTTCTCTTTCACATGAGACCATCCCGGGCGCTGTAGCTTGAAGTGTATTCGAAAAATTTCTTGTTCCCGTGGAAGCCCTATTTTGCCCCTTGATTGTTCGAAATCTTTCGAACGGTAAGGTTTAGAGCCCTGAAATTTTTTTTTGTATATGTACAACTATGAGCCGAACATTCCTAGAAAGTTTCGTGAAATTCTCACGTACTATAACGAAAATCGATTTTGGAGAGAGAGGGCGGCCTTAAAGATATTGTATATTTAGAAAAGTTTGAATATTTTTGTAAACTAATATTTATATTTGAATCTGTTTCTAGTATTTTCATGTGATATTTTTAATATTATTTTCATATGTTATCTTATGTGATTTTTTCCCAATATATGACTTTCAATGTCAATCAAATCCAGAAGAACATAGTGATAGTGATATATTATTAAAAAATGTTGTAAAACGATCGATTTTAAATCAAACAAAAACTAATTTGACTATCAATGGAAATTCTTCATCAAAATTTGGACTCGAACAACATAATCGACCAACAACCAGTGAAATAATACTTGTTTTATGGATGTTTACTTTATTTTGTGAAGAAATTCGTCAAGTAAAAATAATCAAGTTTTGGTTTTTTTTTTCTGCTTCTTCTTCTTTTTATTAATGATTGATTAGGTATTATCAATGGAAGTTCAATCAATATCTGGAAAATTAGCAGCATATTTTTCAATATTTTGGAATAAATTAGATCTCATAGCGATAGTTTTATTTTTTATTGCTTTTATTCTTCGATTGTTACCAATGAGTGAATGTTTTTGTAGTGCACGAATTATTTTAGCTATTGATTTATCAATGTGGTATATAAGAACACTTGATATATTTTCTCCTGTAAAAAGACTCGGACCAAAACTTGTTATGATTGGTGAAATGGTAAATAAAATATATTTAATTCAATTTTGTTAATTTCTGTATTTATAAAAATAAGGTTCATGATTTAAAATTTTACATGTTAATGTTAACTATATTCATATTAGCATATGGTGTACCTACATATAATTTACTCTATGGTGTTCAAAAATTTTCTTGGCATATTCCACGTGCTATTTTAAATTTAGCTTATTGGCAAATATTTGGTGAATTAGAAGTTCTTGACGATATTGAAAGTGACTCTCACATTAGACTTTTTATTGAAATTTGATCTTAACTGTTTTTTTTTTAGAAAACTATGAAATAACTGGCTATGTTGTATTTATATTATTAATTGCTTATATGACAGTAGCAAGTGTTCTTTTAATTAATCTTCTTATTGCTATGTTCAGGTATTACTTTTATTTTTATCTCATATTTTGAAATATTATATTATTTATCTTTTTTTGAAGTAATACATTTGATCGTTTACAATTAGATACAGATTGTATATGGAAATTTCAACATTATTCATATGTATGTTATCATTTAACTCTTCCATCACTTCCTCCACCATTAATTATATTTTCACATATTTATCGTGTAATGATTTATATTTTTTCACATAAATTTAAAATCGAATGGTTTTATCAAAAATATATTCAACATACAAATGGATCGAAATTTAGTACATTTTAATAAAAATAAAAATGTTTTAATTGGCTTTTTTTTTTGTAGAAATAATTGCTGATGAAATATTAACAAAAACAATTGAATCTATTGAAGATGCTTTAGGAAATGAAGTTTATTTTTTTTTCATTAAAAACTGATCGAAAACAAATTAATCAACCAACTGATTTAAATGAAGAACGAATGTATGTATCGATTTATTTAATAAAAGAAAAAAGAAATTTTTTTTAAGACATTCTCCACAAGAAATTCTTATAAATAAAATCAAAACACTTGAAAATCAAATTCAAATAATACAAAATCAAGTAGAATCTATTTGAAATCGTAGAAATAATTATTTTCTGTTGTTTTCTAGCAAAGTAATATGTTTGAATATTTGGAATATTTAATGAATGGAATCAAAAAAATTGGTGGTGATGATATTGAAATGCCCAAACTATTACGTCAAAATTCTGAATTACTTTGTATGTTATGTATATTTATTCTCGCATTAGACAAAAAAAAATCATAGATCACTAGTTTCATTTTTTTGAATTCAAAAATCATTAGGGTATAACACTACAATGAATTTCTATAGAAGAACAGGAATAATTTAAACTTCATCTTACAAGTGACATCGATTCAAAACCGAAGGCATATTGAGGTCAAGAATTCTAGCCACTTGTATCTTATGGAAGTCTATTTCAGTTAAAACCTCCAATTTATGCTGCTCGCGAGAAGAATATTCATTAAATGAACTCATCGAATCGATCTATTTCGGACAGTAGTTTCCGTTTTGAAGGTGTTCGTATTATTCGTAGAGACTACATATCTATTGCTATTTATGCTTCCCTAGTAAAGATGAATATTAGACTGACGTCCCGTAAAAATAGGAAAATAAATTGATATAATTTTTTTTCTCACTAGTTTTTCTATAATATTTTAGAGATTCATATTAAATGATGATAGAATTAATAATTATTCAAGCAAACAAAACAAACTTTATTGTTTTTTATTATAGAATAATAAAAAATAAATATGTTTAAAATAAAATTTCATTGCTGAATATTTTCTATACACAATACCAATCAAATAGCAATAGAATTTTGATTATATTCAAGATTTAATATTTAAATTTCGTGAATAATAATAAATTTAAAAAAATATTCTTGTTTTTATAAAATATGTAAAAGACGTGTTTTATGTGGAAAATAATACAAGATTGAAATATACCAATCAAAATCTGTTTGAATGATTTGTTTGAGTCCAAGAATAAATCTCCACAATCGATGAGGTTGCATTACTAAATGAGCAAGATGATGATTTCGTGCTTCAGCATAGTTTGAACTAACAAGATTATTCACTATGTTAGTACTAGAAGGTGTTAATGGAGCACTAAAATCTTGAGATATGATCTCATCTATTTGGATAATCTTTTCTGGAATAATTTAATCTTGATTAACTAATTGAAGATGATCTCCTAGTTGAATTTCTGAAGCAAAAACAGAAGTTGATATTTCATATTTAAAAATAAGATACTTTAATGAAATTCCAATTGAATATGTCGAGTTTTGATGATGCTTAAATACAGTTAGATGAATAAATCTGTAGAATTTGCTTTTTTCACTATGAATTATATCATAAATCAGTTCAATGATCAGTTTATTTCCTTCTTGTACTAAAACTTCTTCTCCAATTTGTACATTCGAAAGAGAAATATCTTTTCCATTACGTGTTTGAACTGTACTTTGACCACTAAAGTATTTTTTGTTGGTATTCAACTTCACATGACTGTTCTTTCGGTTTTTTGTATTTAACAGAGAAATCACATAATTTCTCTCAAGAAAAAAAAATTGAGTATTACTTGTGTATTATTATTGATAAACTGATTAGTATATAAATCGACCTTGCCTCGCGTTGTTGAGAACATTGTTTGTGTATGAAATCGAATAAATAAAAGAATACGTCTAAATTCAGCTGCTGTGTTGATACGAATCCTCAGTTCTTTGGTGAGTAATACTTGATTTATAATTAACCTGGATCAATTGAAAATGTACAGCTGATGGGATTACGCTGACCAATAAAGGTAACATCGCATTACCATAGCAATAAAGGGTGTGGGTGTGGGTGTATGTGTGAATAAGATCTTCTCATCACCCACACCCACACCCACACCCACACCCCCACCCAATTCAGCAACTTCTACGAATCATGCTTTCGAAATTTTTCTATAAGTCTTCGTACGCATTGCATCGTCAAATGCAAGAAATTGAAGCAAATACAGATGCTTGGTTGAAGGTGAAAGGTCACTCTTTCAGATCATATACTTTTTTAAACATGATTGAATTGTATCCTGTACTATCAAACAGAGGAATTCCGTTTGCTGAATGAATCTAGTAAATACCAAAAAAAGATAAATCACGGAAGATTCGCAAATATAATGGCGAATCTTTTGACGAGATTTCAAGATTACATGGTTTGCCTATACAAAAATTACATACGAAATAAACCCTGTTGAAAACTTATCGGGACAACTGATGTCTCTTTAATATGAGTTAGAGTTGAAAAGGTTTAAAATCGCCCCCTCCCGTTCATCTCACTCTCCCATTACTGCCTGAAAAGTTTTGAGCCTCCCATAAATTAGAGTCGTCCCGCCGCCTCTGAGTTAAAGTCTTACCTCATTAAATCATCGATGTGCAAATCTAAATGCATTCTGTACTATCACTTCTATATTTTTCATTTTGACAAGAGAAAATGCTAGAAAAATATTTGTATTGAGGATGAGGACAAATATAAAAACTTTTCATTTATTATAGATATGATCTAAGAAAATGAATAATATATCTTGTCATCAGTTTTTATCTGTTTTACAGAACGGTAGTAAACTGTGTATAAAATGGGTAAAAAGTTCATCAAATACTTTCGAAATATTTTCAATCGACTGAGAATATTTGTTTCATCTTATTTTATTCTTTATTTTACTAAATGGCATGCTTCTAATATATACATGCAAAATCAATCAAATCTTTTGAATATTTTATTCAATAAACTACATATGAAGAAAAAAAAAACAGTTATGATTGAAAGATCCAATGTCCATAATTGTGTCGAATGACAGTCCACGGTGATGATAGATAATTTTTCAATAGTTCAACCAAATCATATCTATTGCTACGTTGATCATCTTCATAAAGAACATGCAGAGTTCGAAGATTAATCATAGAATTAATTAATAGCAGAATACTTTCTATTTGGTTCACTCTGATAAGTACCACTCGACAATGAATAGCCAAAGATGATTGACTTAATTCCATACATTGTTTAAGATCATAGGAATGTCGATGACGTGATTGATTAACACCTTGTAAATCTAGTCGACGAACTGATGCGCTGGCTAGTTGATAAGGTGGCATTTCTAAAGTATCCCATGAATTAAATACTAGGAAGTGGAGATTCAATGCACGATCCAACAATGCTTGTAACTGTAAATGATCATTTCTTTCCGGAATGTCGACAACCAGTAAATGTAAATGTTCAATATTGGGAACAATCGAGAAGAAATGATGATCAATGGGTAATTGTAGATGTAATATTCTAATATTGTTTAGTTGGATATAAGACCATGTATCGTCCTCGAACAAGGACGAACTATAACTTACTTGTTGAACAGAATCATAGGAGAAATATTTTTCATATGGACATGTCGATATTGTTTTCGAATCGTATGCATTGGAGATAACGGGAAAATAATCAAATTTGTAAGGTAAAGTATATATACATATGCACAAAGATGCCATCCATAATCTCCAATGACATCGAATGAACCATTGATGATGTTCGATCCAGAATGGAGTACGATACGTAGCTAGATATTGTTCGACTTGTTCTTCATTATCTTGATCATTAATGAAACGATAAAAACTGAAATCCATCTTCAACTGGAAAACCTTCAATTGTGGTAAATATTTAACGATAATTTGTTTCCAATCATGTCCAGTGAACTTAATAGAGAACATATCCACTTTGAGATGATTAATATTAGGTAATAATTGGAATAGATTGATCATTACACGTTGTGAACATACTTCATATAAGGCAAGTTTTTCAACTGATAGATTCTTCGGTGATGGTATAAATTGACGAGAAGATGGACGATCATCTTCTTCATAACTATTCAAGGAAAGAGAAAATTTTAGTAAATTAGGTGTTTTCTCTAATAAACTGGCAAATTGATGCGATGACCAGAAATTTTGACGAATAATTAAGTAATGAAACGATGTGGAAATGATGGTAGGAATACAAAAATAACTTGTACAGTCAAACTTAAGATCCCAATAACAATAGGTCAGTTTAGGTAAACTCCAAATGCGATCGATGATATCTTGAGCGGGCTGTTTTTCAAGTTCAGATATTCGACAATTAATAAATTTTAAATGTGTCAGCTGATAAAGACGAGATAAGTCACAAAAGAAGAATAGATTAATCATTGGATCTGAACTAATATTATCGAACGTTAGAGAACGAAGACGGTTGAATTGATTTAATTTAAAACCGGCGGATAATAGATGAAAATATTGACGTGGAGTATCATCATCATCAGACAATCGAAGATGAATAATTTGATTGATTATCAAAGGTAAATATGTTTGACAGAAAAGTGTGAAATTTTCTTTGGAGATCGAACGAAGATCGACACGATAAGTTCGAAAATAGATCAATAGTAGAGAATTAAAACGAGTATTAAGACCACGGAAAGAACGAAGGACATCGATTCCATTCAATAATTCGAATAATTCAATCAACAATTCATTGGATAATGATTCTAATGTCATTTGCTTTATTGTCATTTTTGCATCAAAATGTAGAACTTCTTCACACCACGATTTGTATTATTCATACACATACAACAGGTACATTGATTGGAAAAGAATGATAATGAAGTGAGAAAGTCGTAAGATTAATCTTGAACGTTGAAGAGAAACAAATGAATCGATTGAAAAAACAAACGTTGGTGCTAATTTTGTTTTTCCTGTTATCACTTATCTATGATTTAATCCAGACAACGTCTCACCATCGTTCTTCTCTTCTATATAGTTTATCTTTCCGGTCATAAAAACAAGTGAATTCTGTTTATCATTTCAATTTCACATTAACAATTGACAGATCATCTTGATTATCTTCCTTTCTTTTCAATCTAAACGAATGAATCGCTAATTATACTTTTTGTTGATTTTTTAAAAAAAAACTAAGTATATTCATCAAGGATTACTGTTTATGATCTATTCTCTTTCGATTATTTTACAAATCGAATGAATTCATAAGGATATGGTCCTTTTACTGGTGAAAAATATAATTGGTACAGGTGAAGAAAGTAAATACAATTCATATAACAGATCACATAATGACATAATATTTATAACAAACAACAAATATATGAGTGAATTGCAACTTTCTGGTACGATTGGTGCAAAAAATTGAAAGTAGATCTAAACAATGTCTGACTAGTGCCTTTTATTAGACTCTATGACAGCAAAAGTTTCCCAACACTTTACCACATATTAGCTGAGATACAATATAGGTTACTGTAAATGTACTAGAAAAGCCGTTATTTTAATGAAAAATGTCCTTCTACAGCTCATAATGTAATGTAGATATCTCAAGCATGATAAGAGATTTGGGGCTGAATTTTTTACTGAATATAGAACTCTGAGATGTATATCTGCAATAAAAATTTGAACGAAAACAAATGAACCATTTAGAAGTTATTTACAAAGTAAATTTCAAAAAGTCGCTCTACACTTTTTAAAAAAAAATGTCTCTCTACATGTTATCGCGTATTGTAAATTTCTCAGGATTAGTATGAGATAGACTGCTGAATTTTTGAATGCTTATGTAACTTTTAGAACTACATCTATGGTAAAAATTTGAGCGAAAACAACCAAGCCGTTCAGAAGTTATCTATAATATATTTTTCAAAAAGTCGTTCAACAAAGTGAGTGAAAACTGAATTTTTAGAAAATAATGAATTTTTTTC